AGCGCTGCTGAATGCCTTGGAAGCATAAGGCCGCCATCTGGTGGACACTAACAATTCTAACAGCCTGGTCATAACACCAGGATTAGAGAGAAATGGGCTTCAAAGTCGTTTAATTTTTCCTACCTCCAATTACAGCTTCAACTAATCAGGCTCTAAAAGTCAAGGCACGAGTGTGAAATAGCTAAGAGGTCAGCAAAATGGGAGCAAGGTGCTCCAGAATCTCTTCCTCGCACTTGGGATAAAGCCAAACTTCTTAACCTGCACTTGTCCAGCCTCACCATTCTCCACTGGTACCCAGCCCTGGTGAGCTTCCAGCGCAGCACCTTTCACTTGCTCCTCCCTCGGCTATAAGCACTGGTCCACGCCTTCTGCGCCTCATCACTCCATCTTTCAGGAAATGCCTGAAAGTCACCTCTCCAGGAAATTTCTCAAAGCCCATAAAAGAGGTCCGATTCCCCTTGTTTCACATATCCCTACAGCAGTCCTTACTTTAACTTCACAGCACGAACCACAATCAACTGCTGTGATCACCTGCCAGTTTGTGTGATTGTTGTCTAGTCTGTAAACTCCACAGGGCAAGGACTGTCTCTTCTGTTCATTGTCATGTCCTCTGTTATCAGCATACTGCCTGACACAGAATAAGGCTTGAATAAATATTTAGTGAATGGATGAAATAAATGATTAAATGAGTGTTTCACGCTGATGAGGAATGTAGTGATGGATAAAAGTATATGCAGAGAGTGAGTTGAACTGTATGTATTCTCCTTCTGGTGGTGTAAAGGGACATCCAGGAAATTGACAAACATTATTGGAGCCAGGTATCTTTCAGTGACAACTTCAAAAGCTTTCATTGAAAGCTTCAAAGCTTTCATCATATGGTCTAAGTTTTGCTAACAGTACAAACCTGAGTCCTTCACGGAGACCAGATGGGTTTTGTGGAAGCAAATCAGTCCTTGCTATGGTATGGTGCATATCTTATTACAGAGACTTTAAGAGCAGCCTGTATAGCCAAAACATCTGCTGTCCTAGCCACAACCCTCCTTCCCCCAAGATTTCTCAGACACAGAGTCAGCAGACTGTAGAGAAGGGGGAAACTTTGCTGATCTGGTGTAGTGAACAGAGGAAGGTAGATGGGTCAATATCTGGTATGAGACAGAATTCTTGTTTCGTCATCGCTGTCCCCAAACATGTCATCCAGTGAGCATCACCAACACCCACACTTGGGATACTTTACAGAGAAAGGATCCACTCACCAATGATGACCCTGCCTCAAACTTTATCCACCTTCCACAGTCCTCAGTAGCTGACCATACCTGGCTGTCGGAAACCAGCCGACCAAGTCAAACCGGGTACCTGAATGGGGGAGCGGGGACTGAGAAAAAAGAGAAGACAGACAGGGTGCAGGAGGGAGAACAGATCTCACAACTGTCTCTCCGAGTTTATTTCTTATGCTTCTTTTTATACATAATCTGTTCCTTTGTGTATCCCAAGATAACATAATTAAAGTAACATCCTGAAGATCGAGGTACAATCGACACTTCCTTTGACACTCCCTTTGTCTATACTTAATCTTCTTCTTCCTGGAATTCCACAGAACCAGCCTTTTCTTTTTTATGCAAGCAGACCTCCCGAGATAATCCATGCACTCTTTTGAATTTGGGGAGCTTTAGCTCCCTACACCTGGCAGGATAGATAATGGAGATGGCTGCAAAGCAAATGAGTCTGTAAAAAAGAACAACATTCTTTTAGTATATTCTTAGAACTACACCTGGCTTGTTGACCAGACTGTTGGTGCTAGAAGGTCAGCACATTCTGCACTCTGCAGACAAGCTGGGTATGAAGCCACACTGCCTGGAATTGGAATTCTAGTATTACAGCAAAGAAGACTGAGCTTACTCAGTGCTCAATCACTTGAGTCTCATGAGGATAGCCTGACAAGGAAATGTGAATGCCATTTTTAATGGAGCAAAGCACCAATCCGGCCTGTGCTGGATGGGCTGGGCCTGCCCTGCCTTCCAGATGGACATGACTCTGTCTGGACTTTCACAGCTCATCAATCCCCCTCTGCTGATGCTCTGCTTTTAGATATGTTCATGTGTTCATCAGACTTCTCTAAATCTGGTGTTCCTAGGAGGCTACCTATGTCTTTCTGTGAGTTTGCCAGTCTCTGCTCCATCTCCTAGCATTGAATTTATAATCTCACTCAGAAAACAAGCAAGCACTTCTCGTTCCAAGTTCTTGGAGAACATATGTCCACATCCTGCCCAGGCACTTTTGGGTTCTGGTGGAGAAGCAAATCTCCCTCACCTGGCACCAGTGGCTCTGATTGTATTCATGATGTTGTCACTGACCTGGTGGCCAGAGGGTAGCACAGCAGGATGCAGGCCCTTCATGCCACCCTCTCTGCAGAGGTAAGCCAGTGTCGACAGGCTCCTACTCCTTTCCAAACCTCAGCATCTCTACAGTGATGTAGCATTACAGTGAAAAAGGACAATGAAACGACTCCTCAAGCAGAGCTCTCTAGGATACTTTAAAAACTTATTTCTCTTTACTTTTCAGATAAAGATATCTTCCCCATCTTTGCAAAATATGGACCAACATACAGCAGTGGCAGGGAGGTAGAAGATTTCAAGCATTGGCTTAACTATTGAATCATGATTATACAAGTTGTCATTCTATGTCACAACTGAAAAAAACCAACTCACACAGGCTAATATATAAAGAAAGGACTTTGTCAATTCACAAAACTGAAGGGTCAAGAGGTAGTCTAGCTTCAGGTGCAGTTGGATAGAGAGCCTCAAGTGATATCACCGGCCTTCTTTATCTCCGAGTTCTGCTTCCTCTCCATGAGTTCGCCCTCAGGAAGGCATTCTCCTGGCAACTCTAGCTTACATGCTACCAGCTCAACATACTCAGCAAAAAGGTTATCTTTAATAGTTCAGCTAGGGTTACCAGATTTAGCAAATATGAGGGACATATTTATACTAAAAAAAATTCCTACTTGACCAGGAATTCAAATACAACTAAGCACCTTGTATTTTACCTGACAACCCTCAGTCTACCACAGGTCCTAGGATTGAATTTGGGCAATCTGGATCATATACCATTCCAGACCAGTGCAGGAGGATGGGCTATGCCAACTGGCCAGGGTCACCTGCCTCTCTCTGGAAAGGAAAGAGCATGGTCAGCCCTCCTAGTATACAGTAGGAGACAGGGTCCCTTACCCAATAACTGGGATGCTCACTCTAGAAGAGGAATGAACCCTGCTCAGGCAAAAACAACAAATGTCCACACAGTGACCTTGAAGGTCCCAAGTAACTGTGAAAATCATAAAACTCTGTGATGGTCGTATTGCACACAAGTTTACAAAGCATTTTTACACCACTTTTTCCTTGCCACACACCCCTCTGTTTGGTTGGCAGAACAGATATTATAATCACTCCTGTATTACTTTGCTCCAGCTGCCATAACAAAGTACCACACACTGAGAGGTGGAATGCTTAAACAACAGACATCTATTTTCTGACTATAATTCTGGAGGCTAGAAGTCCAAGATCAAGGTGTCAGCAGGGTTGGTTTCTTTTGAGGCCTCTCTCTTTGGTGCAGAATGGAGGTCTTCATGCTGTGTCCTCACGGTCTTTCCTCTGTACATGTCTGCGTCCAAATCTCCTATTCTTATAAGGACACCAATCATACTGAATTAGGGCCCACCCTAATAACCTCATTTTAACTTAATTGCCTCTTTTAAGTCCCTATCTCCAAATACAGTTACATTCTGAGGTACTGGGGCTTAGGACTTCAACATATGAATTGTTAGGGAGACACAATTCAGCCCGTAACACTTTACCCTCTTTTCTTTCTTTCTTTTCTCTCTTTTCTTTCTTTCTTTTTTCTTTCTTTCTTTCTTTTTCTTTCTTTCTTTTCTGTCCTTCCTTCCTTCCTTCCTTTCCTTCCTTCCTTCCTTCTTTCTTTTCTTTTTCTTTTTCTTTCTCTCTCTCTCTCTCTCTCTCCCCCCTTCCTTCTTCCTTCCTTCCTTCCTCCTTCCTTCCTTCCTTCCTTCCTTCCTTCCTTCTCTCCCTCCTTCCTTCCATTCCTTTTCAGATAAGGAACAGGACAGTGAGGGTGGTCACAATTTGTCCCCAGCCCCAGGGCTGATTTAGTGGTAGAACTCAGTAAGGAGGCTCGCCAAACTTCAAGCAGTGGCAGCCCCTGCTGGGCCTGCCCAACCTCTGCCCAGCCTTTGAAATCCCCCTGTGTGGCCACTGTTTATACACATGCCCACCCACTGCCAGAGTGCAAGCTCCCTTCCTGGAGAGCACACAGCAAATCCATCTTCGCCTGCGACTTGCACAGGACCAGGCCCCCAGCAGATGTTCTCGAAATAAGCATTCCTTGAAAAGAACGAAACTGACACACACACAAAAATTCCTAAAGAGTTTTAGGAGATTTAGTTAAAAGAAGAGGAGGACAGGAGCTCATGCTCATGATTTGAAGTGATAAAGACTCTAGAACGGCAAAAATGATGAGTCCTATGGATGTGTAAATGAGCCTGGGGAAAAACTAATCAGAAGAGTAAATTACAAAACAGAAAAAGACTAAAACAAGTGAGGGAAGAACAGTGAATGTCCTTAGTTTATAAGAAATTCATGAGCAATGCGTGTGAAAATTTTGTTGGTTTTGGTGGTGAGAAAGAACTGTAAATATGTATAATATGTAAATACCTTGTATAATAAAAACCTATGAAGATAAACGAGCCTGCCTGCAGAAAAACTGTGAACTCTATAAGATGCTAATATAACTGTCGTCATTCTAAGAAATTACCATAATGCTTACAGGGCTTTGAAAGTTCCTGAGCGTTGTAAAGAAATGCATAAATACTAAATACCAACCAGAAAACGCGCGTGCGCGCGCGCCTCTCTCCTATTTTCTTTCTTTTAAAAAATTTATTTTTATGCGAGGAAGGTAGCCTTAGTGATAACAAGCATTGGAGCTGGACCTATATGGGGGTCAGATACTACTCCCTTCCATCACCAATGAGCTGTGTGGCCTTCAGCAAGTCATCCAGACCCTCTGGTCTCACTTTCCCCATCTGTAAAATGGAAAAACGGACACCCAGCCCTCGCCGCGCTGGGGGAGACGCGAATGGGAGAACACAGCAGGTCTCAAGCAGGGCTACTTCCCGCTACCGGTGCGTGCCGACCAGCGGCCACTGGAAGACCGAGGGCCAGTTGGAGAACGAGGCCGGGGCGGGCGTGTCGGGACGCGGCGGAGGGAGGGGGCAGCGGGCGTGG